AAATAGATCAGACATAACAATTTTAACATTTTAGTAGCTAAATATGCCTGCTAACTTGGGACGGTTTAAGGGATAGTTTATTTTCTATTAATTCAACCTATTTAACAAGGGAATTTTTTTTTAATTTGTTGAATCTTACTCTATGCACATTGACTTCTATAATTCTAATAGTGTGCTATTTATAACAACTTAAGAAAACATAAGTCAATTTCTAGTTATCATATGCCATACATTATCTGTTGAAAATTTGGCACAAATATGCTATGCAAAAAATTTTTATATGTAAATGTTATTCTATTTTTTGTGCAAATTGCACAGCTCATTGATAATTTTGTGTGAATTTTCAACACTGCTTGCATTAGACTTATATGCATTAGATTATATAAAGTGCTATCGCTGTTTTCAAATAAGTATAGTTATAGAATTTTATAAATTTTATGAATCTCGCATTTTACTATTGATCTTGAAATGAAAATATGTTAAAGCTTCATTGTACATATTTATAAAATTCAATTACCATATTAATTCAAAAACAGTAATAATAAGACTATTATACATGCCTATATTTTATAACAATAATTTGAAAAATATTTTACATTCAAAAGACTATTATAAATTATAGTAATTTCACCGTGATTATATGTATTATAATTTTATCTAACCTGATGAAAGTAGAAAAAAATGTATTACTAAGTTTTGTGATTTTTATTAGAAATCTTTTAATATATCATGATGTAATTATTGTAATAAATATTGAGTAATTCATTGAGTTCATTAAGCATACAAGTGGTACAATCAAAATTTTTCTTGCATGGTTGAACTTGCCAAGTTTTCTCACTGCAAACTTCTACAAGCTTCTGCTACTAAGAAATGCTATTGGTTTAATTCTGGATTTATCCATAATAAATATCGTGTACCTGAACAAGAATTAAGAAAAAAGATTGATTGTTTATTAAAATAGAATTTAGATAAAGACAAGGCTGGTTTGATAACAATATTTATTCAAGATTTAAAATAACATATTGTAGATTTTGAACTTTCAAATATAGCACTAAATACAGAAAGAAGTGTCTGACTGCCATTTATCACGTAATATTTTTTACTTAGTAACCAGATATGTAAACAAAATTTGCATTTAAAATAATAAATTAATATCAATAAAAACTAATTAGTCAGGAAGTATTTCTTATGATTTTTTTTTATGACAGGATGAAGTCTACAATAATTTTTGGTAAATCATGATAGATACATAAAACTCATAATAGATAGATAAAACTCGTGATAGATATGTAAAACCTGCAATAAATATGTGAAACCCACAATAGTATATAAAACCACGATGTCTATATAAAATTTGAAATAGTGATAGTCATATAAAACCCGCAATTACATGACTATATATTGTGCAGCCCTATACAATAATAATAGTTCTTTAATAAATCTCTTTTAGAGAAAAAAAATCAGATTACGTATTAGATTAATTTTTTAATTAATACTGTAATTTTAGTAATTGTTATGTATCAATATGACGCAGAATCTTTATAAATTATGGAAAGGCTTTTAAATATATATATACTGCATAATATCTGCCAAAAGTAAAAATAGTTAGAACAAAATAATGCTATGAAAAATAGCTATATAGATATTATTAGTCTAAAATTAAAATATTTATAAGTTTTACTAGACTGGGTTGGGCCAGGCCAGGCTGGGCCAGACCAGGCCTAAGGTCCAGCCCGGTCTATTATTCTAGGCTTTTTTTTTCTGGGCCAGGCTTGGGCCCAAAAATTTTTTTAGGCCTGGGTATGGGCTTGGCAAAGCCTGGCCCATTCCCCACCCTAAAGAATATACATATAAATGGGTTTAAATATATTGAAAGAGACAATTTACGATACTTTTGCTTGTTCTTCAGAAGTATTTGTATCTGATAGAGATCAAACCCTTAGAAAAGCAGCAGATAGCATTTTTTTAGCAGCAAAAAAAATGGTATGTATTTGGTATATGCTTGCACAAAATTTACTAACTACATGTAGAAAGCTTTTTAACTTTGATGAAGACTATAACAAGTTGTTATTATCAGTTCAAAAAGTTGCTTACGTCAAGAAGATGAATGAAGTTGAAGATGCATTTAATGAGGTGAAACAAGTAGCGGCTAAGAGTAGAGATCCGAGCTATATTGAGAATTATTTTGAAGAATGGAAAAAGGATGCTAAGTGTTAGTTGCATGTTTATACAAAAAATTATTCACATATGGGCATCCAGTCGACACAACAAGCTAAGAGAAGTTATGCTGGATTAAAAAAAGTGATAGAAGTAGCAAGTGGGTTGGAACAGGGTTTTTTATATATTGATCGTGCTTTCTGCCAACACAAATTAAAAATAAATGGTGCCTTAGGATTAAACATTGTTTTTGCAGATCTATTTATACTTAACAACAAGAGATTTGAACAACTGCTTGAAAAAATTTCTAGGTAAGCAATTGATCAAATAAAGAAAGAGATATATGAAACTGAAAACAACAATAACATCACAAAGTTAAACTAAGTACAACCTTATATTTAACAAATAGAAATATTAAATAAATATTCAAATTTAATATTATTTAAGTATTTAAAATTTTAATACTTAATGAATATTGAATTTTATATTTATTAAATATTTAATTTTTTGAATAGTTATAAATATTTTAAATAAGTATTTGTAATTGTATTTCTAATATACCTTATATTTAATAAATATTTATTAAATATTAAATAAATATTTTGTAAATACTTAGCAAATACTTCAACCAACTTCGTGATGAATAAAGATAGTAACAACTGTAAATATAGTTTGAAGTTAAATTTAAATTACCATGCCATTATATAATTCTATCAATAGGACCTATTCTGCTTTCAATTATATATTCCCGCTAGTATCTAAAATATAATTCAATGCCACTATCATCATTGTAAATTGATATAGCCACTAGTAAAGCCTTATACAAACTCAAGGATAAATATAAAAACTTAAGTGATTGTAGGTCCAAAACTACATTGTTAGATAAAATTGAAACTTTGGTTGCTAAGGAAGATGTAATTCCAAAGGCACTATTATGTATCAAATCTAAAAGACAAATATCTACTAAACATGGCCTTTTTCTAAGTGAGTATCAAGATAAAGTTGCTGCAAATAGTGTTCCAAAAATGTAAATCGAATCAGATTCAGATTGTAATCTAATCCCAACCATCGGATTGGTTTTAGCTCCAAAAATTCAGATTGGGCCCGGATTGAGCAGGATTGGGCCTAATTTAAAATTAGGGTACAAAATTTAGATCAATTACATC